GTTGTTTAGCCTGCGCTCGAAGCTGTGAAGCCTTCGTGGAGATGGATGGTCTGTTTCACTCAGTGGACGCCCCTTGGCATGCGAGGTTCAAGGATGAGCTTCTTGCAAGCTTCAACGCGAGCCTCGACGACGAAGACTACGAGGTGCCATCGTCTGCCTTGGTTCGTGTCGGGGGCCTGAAGGATCCGTTGTCAAGCGTTCAACGGTGGGCCTAGCCTAAGACGCGTCAGTCGTTGGCGTGCAGGAGTGTTGGATCGGGAGAGCCAGCCGAAAATCTCATTACACAACAGCTTGCACGACGAAGTGCTAGGAGCGCTACAGCTGTGGGCTGTTAGGAGTAAAGAGTATTGCTTCGTGAAGCCGCGAGGCGCGTACGAGAAAGGGTTGCACTCGCGTCATCTCATTGATACAGGGTCCGCTGGAACCCGCCTGCCGGAGAGCGCGTGGGATTCATTTCGGCTGTCCTGCGAATACTGCCAGTATACGTGATGGGAAGTCCGGAATCGCAGAATTTTTTGCTCGTCCTCGTCCTGAATCGCCCCCTTGGCCAAAGCATGGTGGCCGTGCTCCTGAATCCCGCAAGTGCTTGGGGGAAGCCGGACACGCTTCCTGGCGGTCTGGTGGTTATCCCGGTGGGCGTCCGGGTCGCCCTGGTCATTTTGGTCGCTGTGGTCGTGGTCGTGATGCTCAATGACCGTTTGAGAATCTACGCTTGCATCACAAATGATGGAAATCGGCCAGTGGGCGAGGGGCCCCGCTCCTGTGGACCAATACAGGGTTGAAGAAGTGTTCTGTGACTGATATCCAAGAGCAGCAAGACAACGCAACATCAACAGCTCTGAAAGAGTGTCTGAACTGCTGATGTTGCGTTGTCTTACTGCATCGTCTCTTTCCTGCATTTTTGCAGCATGTCCTCTTGCTGTACTCCTCTCTTTGATCTAGGAATGTCTGCAATCATGCCCGACGCTAGTCTACTTTGCGAGCCTCTCATCGGATGTCTCTCATGTGAACATTCAGCGTTGTAAACTAGATGGCGCGGGAGCCCCAATACTGCAAGATTAGAGAAGGAAAGTTGACAGAAGGGCGAGGCAACTTAACATGCCGTCGATGTTTAGTGTGTTGTAAAATCTCTCCGTTTCAGAAACAAACTACATGCAAATATGCAGAATCAGACAGCATGTGGCATCACGCAGTGATGCATGCTGCTTCATATGGTTGTATATCCACGGAAGATGGCGGTCGTGCTTACGTGAGATGATATCGTCGATCTGTCAACGATAAGGTGGTCTTGCAAGCACATGCGCTCTGAGCCTGCAATGCTGAGCACACGGCAAGACCTGCTGTGGGTTGGCCGGGTCCAGCATACTCTCAGAATCATCTGCTTCTCGCTTTGAAGCTTTATCTTCCACGACTGACCATGCTAACATATGCCAACTTCAATGGCATCGACGAAGCTCGGCCAGGAAAGCACAGCCGCCGGAAGCTCAAAGTTAGAGGCCTCGGTTCTTCTCTCATCTCATGCGTCAGATTTTGCAGGTAACTTCGTTTTGTTTCTTGGAGTAATTGTCATTCTGCCACTGCGAAGCACACGCTTTTCTCTGAGCTGCTCTGCAATCACATCAAGCTTGCAGGACGGCGTTGATGGGCAGAGCCTCTTGGGGGACCTCCGCAGCGAGTACAGTGTTGCCTCTAGCCGTAGGTCAAGGCCAGGCAAAGACAGCCTTTGAGATGATTTACTTGGACTGTGCATCTGGGTTTCGGTCATGTGGGAGCCACAGGAATAAAGAAGCCCGCGACAATGGTCAGAAGGAATGGGCAGCTGTCTGAGACACATGGGACATGGTCAGTTAAAATGAGAGCTAGACGTGGTTTTGCTGAGCTGAGGATAGCTCCACTGCTGCCGGGGAGGCTTGGCAACCCAGGTGTTTTGCTCTTCACGAAGGCTTTTCTGAACAGCGCTTCGGCACTGTTATCACTGGCTGCCCGGATGCCCCCCAACATCCTGAAGACGAGACAGACTAGAGTGCTGACAGAACCCAAGTCAGTATTCAGGCTAGGCTGCCGGAGGCTGCGGTTTGCATGTCTGCGACACAGGACAAGCCTGCTGTTGACCCAGAGGTCAAGGACATGGCTGAGGCAGGGAGTACACGATCACGATACAAGGAAGACGCTGATGTTTGGAACTGGTGAGGCGGTACTGGAGCAGAACCCGAAATTCCGGGCCATTCACTCCAAAGACTCAGTCCAAAAGATCATAGAGAAGGCGGGCCGAATGGATGGTTTCGATTGCACAGAGATGCGGTGCAGTGATATGGCTACTAACAGAAGTCTTGGCAGGTGCGTGCTGATCCGGTGGTCGACCTGCCTTTGGTTTGGCACCTACATGCATACCGCGGAAGAGTTCGAAGCAACACATGGTATGGCCAAAATGTTGCGTGACTGATCTGTTGCTCAGGCAGACCACATGCGGCTAGAGGGCTGGAGCCCTCGGTGCAGCTGCCCGTCAGATGAAGGGGTTCAGATCTCGTCAATCCGAGGCCCGTGCCCGGTTCCTGTCATCACCGCTTCATCAGACACACAAAATCGGCTTCACAAGCCGGCGAAGCTCTCAGATGCATGCTGATCCTCAACCATGGGACTCTTTTGCGTGATCTGGCTTGTAGGTTGATCCATCAATGCTTCCTTATTTGTACCGCTCACCTGCCATATGAGTTCCGGCAGGACTCGTGGCTTACAAGCACGCCATGACCACCGTTATATTAGGACTGAAGCTCGCCGCCAGGAGTCATGGCAACCGCGAGCTACCGTGCACGAAGTGTGACCACCCTCAGCGGTGTGGTTTCATGTCCGTTGTGTCCTGCAGCTATGTGGCCTTTGCTGTCCAGATGTGAGGCATGGCGGCTGCGGAGAGCAGTTCTTTCAAAGAACGGCTGCACGCGCATTCAATCGTTCAAGCACCTGCCAGTTCATGATCGCCTGTTGATGGCAATCAGAACGGTCGTCGATGATCATAAGCTGAAATCATGAGTGTGTTGGCCTCGTTGCAATGCATGAAGGTGGTGCCGCAATTGCCCGCTTTGTGCTCTGCAGAGCTCGCGGCAGTTTCACGTGGGGCTTGATCAATGGCAAGAGGGAACTGTTGGAGCAAGCCAGAACCACAACCTCAACTCCAAACCCATTCAGGCAGAGCCCCCCACCACAGTATGTTTGCAAGTTCGCCGAACTGTGCGAACTCGTGCTTTGGTGGCCTTGTATCACAAAAGACAAGGCGAAGTGACCTGATGCAAGTGCAAATCCCCACGCATATGCACCAGCTTCGCTACCCGCTGTCACTGGCTTGAGTCCCGTGTCACCTCAGCATGCGAGCATCTAACTAAACCGTCGCCTCTTGTGACATGACTGGAGTCGTGCCTAATCCCAAACCGTGAGATTCCTCGTCTAGGATTGCACGCAGGCATGCGTGTAGGGGCAAGATCAAGATCTCCTTGGATTCGGGCCTTGGCCTGAATGCCTGCAATGCGGCTGAGCAGGGCCTGCACGACCGCCCCAGTCCAGCCGTCCGGTCTATGATAGAAGGTACCAGCCGTCCGGTCTATGGTAGAACGTAAAGTGCCAAGCTGGCAATGCAAGCTGCTTCGCAGCCACTGGAGGTTTCCCGCCGTGCACGTCCTGATTGCAGCAGCAGGCGGTGCCCGATTGCTGCAGAAGCTCCAGAACGGGTCGGAATCCGAAGCAGTTTCGACATTTTGGGCATGTTATGTTTTGACCCTGTCATGGGCGGGACCATCTCCAGGCGAGTGATGCAGTGACAGCACTGCTTGAAGAATTTATTGGATTTGGAAACTGGAGGGCTCATTGTCGCAAAGCTAAGAGCAAGATCACAACAGGGATAAACAGGTAAAAAGGGCAATACCCTAGCACCAGGGATTGGTCTTGGGATGGCAATCTTTTGGTTTGTCGTCTGACTCACTTTTAGACCCCCAATTTGCACGCCCGATCCCGAGACCCAGTTGGAGGGAGGGCCAGGTCAGCGGCAACTGACGAACTGTCCAATACAATCCCAAAGTCTGGTTTCTATATTTCGGGCCGAAGCAGAGCCAGTGTCGGGTTCTCTTTCATGGGGCCTGTGTGGGCTGGGCCAAAACAGTTGGCGCTTCTTCATCAAGCTTTTTTCAGCTCGACAAGCAAACTAATGTGAGACAAAACATACTACACAGAAACCTTTGAGTTCCTTCTCGGTGAAGTGCGATCCAGGCGTTCGGGCCAGCCGTCATCGGCAGCTTACGCGGCCTACCTGTGCAGGGAGCAAACAAAAGGTTTCCTGCATGTTTTGCAGGCTCGGGCGCTGGCAACTACAACTGTTGCCTCGCCGTTCGTATCCCAATCTTGAAGCCGTACACCCTATACAACCTGTACAGTCGGAGCAATGCTTGGATGCTCTTTGACTCGGTAGCTTGGTGAGTGGCTTTAGTACGAGGGGGAACACAGGGCTTGTAAGGGATACTGGCTAGACTCACTAAGTCAAAAGAGGTCCGGCTATGAGTACAACTCCAGAGACGTGAGCGGTAGTCGTCACATAAACCCTGAAACCCCAAGCCCTTAGTTTCTATACAGCCCCAGCCCCTAAAGCTCCTCAATTCAGGTGTGTTAGGATCTCCTGTCTTTCCGGACTTTGGGGATCGGCTTCTCGAGGGACCTGCAGATTCAGGGTACTTGGAGTGACAGCAGTCGCGTGTGCCACTAGACCAGATGCAGGCTCGTGTTGACGGCAGTTGAGAGAACACTGGCTACACTCTGTCGAATTCGGTCGGCTCCATGCAGTAATCTGCCCGCCTTTACGAATTCAGACGGCCTGACGTTCAAGGCTGGCCTGTGCCTTTATGTGCTGACTTTCTTCGCCTGTGCATGTCCATTTTCTTGCAACATGTTTTGCAGCCGACGTTGTTATTGACTTCTGGGGTCACTCGATTCATCGTGCCTGCAGGCCGTGCAGTGCAGCCATGGAGGGCCAAGGCTGGATGTGTGTCTTGCTCGTGGGTGTTGGAGTAAGTGTCAAGCAATCACAGGTGCCGCTCCCTTCGATGCCCCGCCACCGCCATCCGGCCTCGGCAACTTCAAGGGAGTGATGTTATGCGCCCCTCTCGGTGCACCCTGGGCGAGATGCGACAAAAGGGAGTCTATATCGCGGCTGCGAGGTAATCGCCCAAGCGATGAAGTCAAGGCTGTGGCCGAAGACCCTATGCCTTTTAGGCGGGACGCACAGGCTGAAAGCTTCTTCAAGCTGCTCATGAAAAGCTCTGTCCTGTTTAGGTCAGCGGTCGCCTCAAACTCGGAGGTGGGCCTCAGGCCGTTGAGGTGCTCTCCTCAGAGTATTGGGCTGCTTGTTGCTTGCATGAACCAGATGCCCCTGCATGGCCAACCAATTACAGCCCAGATATGGAATACACTGAACACGCTACGGAAGGAACTACGAGCCGACGGTGAAGAAGAGGGGCCCCAGCGCCGCTCTTCGCAGACACGTGCAGCTGGACTCGGTTTCCTTGCAGCCTGCCTTGCGCAGAGGTTTGTCACGCCAATCCTCTGAGGCGATGGCTCCGGGAGTTGCAAGAGCAAATGAGGGAAGACCGGAACCAGGCCATGGCTGCCGATTTCACGCTGTACTTACTGGAGATGCCGTGGGTGCGTCCTGCAGGCCGAGCAAGAAGAGCATGATGAAGTCGCCAAGAGGATAAAGCTCAAAACTGCTTTTGACAAGTGCCCCGCCTGCCTGGCAACCACGCTTGAATGCCAATCTGGCCCAGCAAGGCACAGAGAAGCGGTGCGTGGAATGATGCAAGAGCGAAGCGACAAGCGAAGGGAGGACGGTTGCGACTTTATTCTCTGAGTTGAGGAACAGTGTCGTTTCCGTCTCGTTACGCAGTGTTGCTCGAACGGACTGCGACGGGTGACGGCAACAGGAGGAAGCGACGGCGAAAGCTGAGAAAGCGGCGAAGGCTGCGGAGGCCGGCAAGAAAAACAGAGGACACCTGCGCGGTGTTCGTTCTTACTGTACGAAGCCGAAAAGTCGGACTTTGTTGGATCATGTCCTGTGTGCAGGCCAAGGCAGCTGCGCAGTCTGCACAGCAGGGAGCTTATCTGCAGAGCTGCAGCTGGGCTCAGCCTGGCTGCAACCGTCTAAGCGCTCTCAGGCCAGCACTCTCCGAGATTGCACGGGCCGCGGCAGCAGCTGTTGAGGGCAAGGTATCTGCGAAGGCCCACGCTTGTCTCGGGCCGGCAGTCTCCATGTCCTCCCTGGAGATTTTCGCGAGGCGCAGAGTGCAAAGCCGCTTTGGGCGATGACTGCCCAGGCACTTTCTTGGGGGTAGGTGTGCAGTTAGGCAGCTCTGACATGCTCTGACAGTGCACCAGTGATGCAGGAAAAGGACAAGTTTGAGGAAGACGAGGCCGACGACCTCATTAACTTCGCAGAGGGTTTAGACTTCGACGAATACGTGGGCGCCCCTGATCGTCGTATAGCGAGGGTTTCCTTGTTGCCACCATCTGAAAGTCGGGTCCGGGAGCGTCACATCCCGGAGAAGCGGGATGGGGGGCCACGAGTGCGAAAATGCATGAAAGAAGATCATTCATGCACGGTTTGCAGACTGGGCTCTAAGGTTGCAGATCTGGAGTTTCGACAGGCTCTGGGCGCCCGAGCCTTGGTTTCCCGTGCCCTTCTGCCAAGGTGCTCCGTTCGCGCTCGTTCCGTGTCCTTGCTGCCACACTTTGCAAGCACCAACGTTACAACTGCCAACGACCATGGCATGGTTGAGCAGCCGACTCTTGTTCGCAACAACCTGTCTCGCCAAGGCACTCAAAGATCGTGCGGGAAAGTTGATGAAAGAGCAAGAAGCGTCTTCCGACAGCAGTTACGCCCTCCCCGGTCCCGGTCCGACGTGAAGTTTAGTCGGGTCCCCACCTCCCTCTTGAAGGTTTAAAGATGATCTCCTCGCAAGCTTCGCCGAAGAGTACGAGGTGTGCTGCTGTTTCGGCTGGCTGCAGAGCGTGGGTTGTGGTTGAAGTGCCTTCTTGGCCCAAGGGCCTAGAAGCGACTGTTTGTGAAAGCTGGCGCACTTCCGTTCTTCTGAGACCGCTGACCACCCCTTCAGAACAATACACAGACTAGAGTTAAATATAATATATATATATATATAATATAATATAGTATTATATATATATATA